TGAAAATATTATTTATTTAAAAGCTTGGAATATTTTTTGCGTTCGTTTCCTAGGTTCAAAAAATCCAAACACAAAATTATTCCCCAAGTTACACACCAAAGACCGAAAAAGCCTTACATGCTCAAGAGTGATTCATCTTTGCAGAAGTTCCTCAAGTCACCTCCTTTTCATGGGCTCCACCTTAATTTCTGTTAATAGAATTCTGTTGAATTATTATAATGAGATTGTTCTCATTATTCTCATTGTAAGAGAAGAAGAAAAAGTGGAATACAAGTTAAATAAACAAACAATGGGGGGAAATTACAGCTGATCTCCTTAGCAGGAAGTTAACAGCTGTTTCTTGTTTGGTTGGTCAAACAAATAACATCTTAATTATAGACACACAAAGTATAGGAATTAAATACACAAAGTTTACATTGAACAAAAGCAAGACTGTCTCAAAAGCATTCACACATCATGATTCAACTTACCTGTTTAATCCATGCCACTGGAATAGCTCTTCTCTTTCAAAATTGCCAACAATAAAGTTGCAAAATGCAACCCAGAGGAAGAAGCAGAACAAGTTCTTCACTTGTTTAGATAATTTATGGCTTGATCAGTAGATTGTTAAAAAAAATCTGAATGAGTCCACACAGCATCTTTGCTAATATGTTAACCATAATTTGCAAAGACAAAATAAGATGTATTCTTTGCCCAGAGAAACAATTTAACATTAATGCATAGAGAAGTAAAAACAAACTTCAATTCTATCTCCCTCTATTAGGGGAACTTAAAGAAGCAGAACAAGAGGAAGTCTGGATAAAAATTACATAGCAGACAAGATCTCAACTACTTGAGAAAACGAGTCAATGGTGAAATAATCAAAGAAACCACCACCAAAAATTCTCTTCCTTAGCTAAGAAAATCTATGATCCACTCTATAATTAAAACAGTACAGAGTGGAGCCCAATCCAATGGTGTAACATTTATCAAAATTTGAAGTTTGATAGGCTTTTACCAGTATTGCTGTTTTAATTGCCTCATGCATTCATGGAGGAGGTTGAGGGCCCTGCAATCCTCCATGTCACACAAACTCCTTCTGTCACAGCTTCAGTGAAAACACCACATTATTCCCCTCTCCCAGGACTTTTTTTTTTTTTTAATAAAAAAAAAAATGCTCCCCAAGATCAAGAAGCAAGGAAACTCCAGAAGACTTTTCATATCCAACTATACAATCTCCAGAAGGAAAACAAACAAACAACCCCCCACCACCACGTTTATAGAAAGCATTCTCAAACTCCTGGTCTTGAGTCAAGACTCAGTAGCCTTTTCCAATGTACAACAAAAACTTTGCATGAATGGGGCAACATAAGACTATGTTTATCATTCTTGCCACTGTACACATTACTAGCCTGCACACCCGTAAGTCAGATGACAATGGCATCATAAGAATGCTGTGAATATTTAGAACAGAAGACCAATGCCCAGACCTTTGATCCTAACTTGTCTATTTCCTTCTTACTCATATGAACTTCCCCTTCAGTAACGGCAGCAGTTACAGGTGCCACAATAGCCATGCAGCACATTACCTGGTCTTCGTGAGCCACCTCAATGATTTAAGGGATCTACAATATCATTTATCCAACAGATTCTCCTTAGCCAAATTGTTCATCTGTGTTTTTCCTGAGCTAAAGCAGATGTTATGTAATTGCCTGCTTACCTGCCTAGGATAATCTAGATTATGTCCCTGAGAAGAAACGCTTGCCAAGCATGAAAGAGTTTGGCATCCATTGTGAAATATTTTGCCTTTGTTGTAAGTGTCAAGAACTGTATATACACTTGAGATGCAGTCACTAAAACTATTTTGTTGGAAAGAAAGTAGTGTTTTGGCATCCACAAAGCAAAGAGAGCCAAAAGAAGTCATAGCAGCACTCCTCACTGGACCTCTCTTTGTAGAGAAACTGCTTACCTAAATTTTCTGCATATTTTCTTAGGCAGAAAGACTACTTAGGCAGCTTGGCATCACTGACCTTAATGTTTTTAGAAAGGTATTTGCTTCTGTCTAGTCTACAAATATTTTTAGAACCAGGTTTTAGACCATAGCAAAGAATAACTTATATCATCAGCAGACCTGCACTGGCTTTACCTCACACATGTAGCATTCTCTCATTTGGACTAAAAACCTGAAAACTCTCACCAATTGCTTCCTCGAATTCAATAAAATTCACTTTGTTCTTTATCTGGCTCTAATGTGCTAGACCACTTTCTAGAAACAGTAATCAACATGAGAAGAACAGCAAATTAACCTGTATTTTTTTCCTGCATAGTGTAACACCACTGTCTGTAAAATCAGTAATCATGAAAAACAGTAAAAGTTTGATGTATTATCAACCCCAGCAACTATCACATCTGCTTGGATAAAAGCACCTAAAATAAGCACCTCACCCAATTAAAGTTGGCTTCTACTCACCAGTGGAAATAAGTTGAATTTTTAAGAATCCATGTCTAAAAAGCATTAGAACCACTGCAGCTTTTAAGTTACATATTCATAAAGTACCTCTTAACTGCAGTGTGTTTGTGCTGGTTTTGGCTGGGATAGGCTTAATTTTCTTCATAGGAGCTAGCGTGGGGCTATGTTTTAAGATTTGTGCTGAAAACAGTGTTGATAATTCAGGGATGTTTTAGTTACTGCTGAGCAGTGCTTACACAGAGTCAAGGCCTTTTCTGTTTCTCACCCCACCAGCGAGGAGGCTGGGGGTGCACAAGAGGCTGGGAGGGGGCACAGCCAGGACAGCTGACCAAAGGGATATTCCATACTGCATGACGTCATGCTCAGCATATAAACTAGGGTGAAGAAGTAGGAAGGAGGGGACATTTGGAGTGATGGCATTTGTCTTCCCAAGTGACTGTTACATGTGATGGAGCCCTGCTTTCCTGGAGATGGCTGAACACCTGCCTGCCGATGGGCAGTAGTGAATGAATTCCTTGGCTTGCCTTGCTTGGGTGCGTGGCTTTTGCTTTTCCGTCTTTATCTCATTCCATGAGTTTTCTCACATTTACCCTTCCAATTCTTTCCCCCCTCCCACCGGGGGGGAGGGGGAGGGCAGGGGGAAGTGAGCAAGCGGCTGTGTGATGCTTAGCTGCCAGCTGGGGTTAAACCACAACAGTCCTTATGTCATAAAGTAAATATTTAACTACAGTCATCATTCCTCCAAACAGTCCTCCTTATTTCACACATCAGAAGTTTCTGTTTTTCTCCGAGGAATATCTGATCGATTCCACCAGCGTTATCCAATACCCTTATTCTACTCTTTCCTGCCTTGGTATATACAAGGCACTCCAGCAATTAAATAAATAACACGATCCAGAGTCACTACAGGAGATATGCTAGCACAGATACAAGTCACTCTCAGTGCCTAGATTTCCTAGTAGCAAAATCATTTCACCCACATGTCTCAAGAGTCTCTTTGGTGTACAATTTTTAACCCATCCCAAAATTCTTCACGTATTTAACGTTACCAGCACACTGTGTGAAAGGCACTCTCAACCTTACCTTTTAAAAGTCTTTCCAAGTACCACTTCTTGCCCTTACCAAACACCACACGTGGCTTGGGAACATACTTTTAAAGTTATTTTCACCTGCGCAAAACTTATGCTGGTCCTTTTTCCCTCGTGGTTAGCTGCCTCGACAGAAAAGCCTGGTGGATACAAAAAAAACTCTAGTTTGCTGTTAGTTAAGTAATTAATTGTGGATAAGCAGCTAGTGCAAGGTACGCTGCCTCCACCACCATTAGCGAGGCACCCCCTCTCCACAGCTCTTGCTCAGCAGACACCGTGCCTTTAGAAAGGGCTTTACTTTTGGCTTGTAAAAAGCCAAAACAGGTTTTCAGCATAACGATTAACCCGGGGGGGGGGGAAATCCGTTTTAACAGTAAGAGGTGCTCGCAGAAGGCGAAAGGACCGCTACCTTGTCCTCAGAGGGATGCCGGGGGCGAGCTGAGGAGACACAGCCAGGTTTCTGGAAACGAGGCCCAG